AAGACAAACAGTGGGCACCCCACATCTGCTGTAATACATGTGCTTCAAGTCTGAGGAGCTGGTTAAATGGCAAAAAACGGTCTATGCGCTTTGCTGTCCCAATGGTTTGGAGAGAGCCTACAAATCATATTAATGATTGTTACTTTTGCATGGTACCTTGTGTTGGACAAGCCACAGGTATGTCCAAGAAAAAAAAATCGGTTATTAAGTACCCAAACATACCATCTGCGATGAGACCTGTGCCTCACAGTGACGAAAATCCTATTCCAAAACCCCCAAAATCCTACACTTGCGAATCAGAAAACGAATCAGATCATGGCGATCGAGTGATTCGTCAGGAAGAAGATATGCCATCAACGTCAAGAGATCCTGATTTTATACCGAGCACGTCATGCTACCAACCGCACAAAATAACACAGTCAGAATTAAATGATCTTGTAAGAGATTTAGAACTTCCAAAATGTAAGGCAGAGTTACCTGGATCAAGACTGCAGCAGTGGAACTTGCTAGAAGACGATGTTTCGGTATGTGTTTTCCGTAAACGCCACAAAGACTTACAACCATTTTTCAATATGTAGAATAACTTGGTTTTCTGCAGTAACATTAACGGCTTACTGGCGGCGTTAAATATAAACTATAACCCAGAAGAATGGAGATTGTTTATAGACAGTTCAACATTGAGTTTAAAGGCAGTGTTATTGCATATTGGAAATATTTTACCATCTCTTGTAGGGTATGCAGTTCACATGAAAGAATCATATGACAATATGAAGTACCTATTGACATGCATAAAATACGATGAGCACCAATGGCATATTTGTGGCGATTTGAAAGTTGTTGCACTTTTACTTGGGCTGCAGCTAGGCTACACAAAGTTTTGCTGTTTTTTGTGTGAACTGGCCTATTCGTCAATTCCTAGAGCCAGGTCAAAAAAATGTACAGCATATGCCATTACTAGATTCGAAAAAAAATTTATTACCACCACTGCATATCAAGTTGGGCCTAATTAAAAACTTTGTCAAGGCATTAGATAGAGATGGGTCAGCTTTTCAATACCTGCGTCAGAAATTTCCAAGACTAAGTGAGGCAAAGGTTAAAGAAGGTATTTTTGTTGGGCCACAGATTCGAAATATTTTGAAAGATACACAGTTTGAAAACACTTTAACAGGTATTGAAAAAACTGCTTGGAATGATTACCGTCTGGTGGTCAGTAATTTCTTGGGAAATAGAAAAGCTGACAACTATAAAACCCTTGTCAAAAATATGCTGTCATCGTATCAAAAGATGGGCTGTAATATGTCTCTTAAGATACATTTCCTACACTCACACCTGGACTTTTTTCCTGACAATTGTGGAGCCGTAAGTGATGAGCACGGCGAACGTTTTCATCAGGATATTTCAACAATGGAAAAAAGATACCAGGGAAAGTGGAATCCTTCCATGCTTGCAGACTACTGTTGGACTCTTGGTAGAGATGCTCCAGAAACGGCCCATAAAAGAACAGCAAAAAGACAGCGCATATAGTGATTCTTATAAGTATATGAATCTTGTTACTTTTTTTAATGTATCCTTAAAAATAAAAAGTTTTTTTTCTAAACCGCAACTAATTTTTTATTTCATTGTCATTGTTGGATTCAGCGCCCCAAAATTAACAAAGAAGTGCACTTTTCCCACAAGATACAATTAAAAAACTAAAATTTGTTGTCCAGTGTTATTTTGAAGCTCTCGAAATAGATTTTCGAGACGTTCGCCATCATTGGCGTCAAGGTTTCCAGTTATTGATTTGAATATCGACCCAATGCTATTTAATATGCCTCTTTTTCCTCGCTTTGTATGGGGAAATATATTATGTAACTTTTGTTCTACCTGAGCCCTGAACAAATTTTAATGTTCTGAAATAATTGGACAAATATATAGTGACATTTAAATGTGAAGAAATGGGTTCTGCTATACGTGAGGAGGAAATCGATAATTTTTCAATTTCAGAAATGATGGTCATAGTCATAGTCTTTTACTTTTGCTTCACCAATTTCCACGGGAAGTAGTCCTGGATTATTGTCGAGGTTACGTATAGTTAAGTCCAACCGTTACTTGCAGGAATCTGTAAATGAATAATAATACCTGCATGTATGTATGTATGTGGTAATTGAAAAAATATAACTTGTTACGGTAAATGATATGATTTTGAGGAGAAAACGGTTCCAGTTATCCATATAAGTGCTTTGTTGCATTTTTCAGAAACTGGTACCTTACTGTGTATAGCCGCGTCATTTTAGACGACAGTAGATATCAAAATATTATTTGGTCATCGGTGTGAAACACCTAAAACCGAGCCGAATTTTATTACAAGGATAAGCAGGACGAATTTTTGCGGATTCATGAAACAAACCAACAGAATGTGCAGTATCTGAAACCTTCGTGTACATTGCTTTAAGATCATCAAATTGTCTCCTAACTTTAGCGACAACATGACGTCTAGTTCTGTTGCCCTGCTCAAAATTCTTGGCAGTTTTACTATTTTTGTATCTATTCTTGGGGTCAACGAGATGCTCTGGTATTTGACAATTTTGTAAAATTTTTGATTGCTTCTTTGATTTCTTCATACGAATTTCACCTTCACATACTGATGTCTTTGTTTCATTGATACACTTTGTGTGTGGCTCAACAGATAAAAAATTGAAGTTGTCTTCAGCATTTAAGTAAAGTAACTTGATTCTAGCAAAAGGGGTAACTAGATAGCCATCTACAAAGTGTAGGGCGGCCTTTAATTCTATGAGATTGTCAATACCAAGTGAACCATTGAAAACATCGTCGAACATGAATAGGTAAAATTTCAATTTCTTTGGATGAGGATTTGGAAAAAAATTGAGAGTAATCTCTGGATCCATAAAAGACCTAGTAGACCCGCAGTCAATCAAAAGTTTTATGTCATATTCGGTAAAAACTATATAGCTCAATCCTTTTGTGTTACTAGCATTGAACGATATAATTTCATTGTTTATGTCGTCTGGGGGGAAATTTTCATTTCCTAAGGTCCCAGTTGAGTTGGGCATGTCAAGTTCATTATTTTGATCGGCATTGTAATGATCGTATTGACAATTTTTTCGACGTTAGTAGCAAAATTGCCTGTATCATAAGTTTCATATGCGTTATCATTAAACTCGGTGTTATACAATTCCTCAAAGATAAAATTTTTCTGGGGTCGAGGTGTGTTCGCCGGAATTGGAGCGAATTATGGACGTGTTGTGTTTCTTGTGCTGACACTCATCGGTGTCGGCCTGGGAAGGTTTCTTAGATTTGAAGAATTTGGCTTAAAAACGTTTGTACTCGAATTCTTTGCTTGTTGGTTGCCAAAGACTTCAGCGTTAGTCGGGAAACGCTGATTTAAGTTTGGCCTAGGTTGAATTTGGATGGGTTGAGATGGAAATTGTGCCCGAAAAAAGCTATTAGGCGTACGAGAATTAAAATTTTGATAAGGCATATTAACGGGGCGTGAAGGTCTGAACTGCGAATCTTGAAAATTTGTAAAATTCTGTGAATCTGCCCTAACTCTATATGAAACGTTTTGGAAGTAATGCACATTTTGTTCTTCAATCACTAATTGAAGGGTTCCGCTCAAAGATGTTGGTTTCATGCACCTGACAGTGGTGCCCAATGGTTCTTTCAAGCCTGAAACGAAAGTCTTCAACGCAAGTTTTTGATACAAATAGCGTTTTATTGCTTTACCACTTTCGGTAGCTTCGTGGATATTGACGTAACTACACAGATTGTTTAAAATATGCAAACATCGTTCGTCAAATTTTTGAGGGCTCTCATTTTGATATTGCTTTAGTAAGCAAAGGTCTCTATGTAAGCACACTTCATCACGTTGGTGAGAAAAACTATAGTAATTAATTAATAAAGTTTCAAGTTTACTCCAGGTGTTCACTGAATGAATGTTTATTAAAGATTTGGCATGTCCTCTCAGCTTTGAAGGAATGGAGTTCAATAAAAATGTATTTTGACAATTGTTTGGATTGGAATGATCATAAAAATTGTCAATCAAGGATTTGCTTACACGTAAAAATCGATTGAGATCGTTACTGTTGCCGTCAAATTCATGCACACAACTTAAGTATTCGGGCCTAAAAGTAGCCAAAGTTGTAGTAATACTTGTAGGTAATGAACGTACAGAAACTTGTGAAAGTATGGGCTCACGTAATATATTAGAGTACCGTCGAGTATTTGGAGAGTCAGTATTAAGGTCCAAATTCTCAAGGGCTTCCGATATATCAATACTCACTGAAATTTGAAGCGATAAATGGAAAAAAATAAACTGCACTTACAACACTAAGAAAGCGATATTTAGCATCTCTTACTCCTATAAAGATCCTAACTGGTTTTGCAATGTTGTCTTCCCCAGGCTGGAATCCTTGCGAAACTGGGCAATGTGGTCCCAAATTCCGATGCCCTTCGTATGTAGCTGTTCACGCCGGTTCCTCGATGGATTGGGTATCCAAAAATATGAATCCAGTCCAGTGCTCACTGCCACTACACGAACGCCACCAAGTCCCAAAGGCCGGGTAGAGTCCGGAAAAGTCCCGTCGCGACGGTTTGCGAAACTCTTTCCCGGGTCGCGTATTCCTGATCCTACTGGAACGACTGCGCCAGTTATAAGCTCGATGCCTCGAGATCGCTTTTTAAAAAAATTATTTTCGAAAACACAAAACTCAGAAAACGTACTTTTACAAAATTATTATGATGTTAACAGTACAAAGGCGTAAATCTGACTGACTATAAAATGTGTTAAGAACAATAAAGTAAAGTCTAGGTCTTCTAGGAAATAAGTAGCATCGTCGGCAGTATTCCTGGCATATCAGCAGGAACGGCTGATATAACTCACGTGTATATAAAAACATACTCGGAGCGTTGAAATTCCACTCCTTTCTTGGGATAGTTTTTTTTATACTAATACCGGTTGCTGTGTTTATTTACATATTAGGCATATTTATGACAATCTAATGCCACCACCACCTACGGGGGTGGGTGGCACCACCACTAGTGACAGTTTTAGTGGCAATGTGGCAGTATTCGATCTAACCTTCGGGGAAGATAACATGGAATTAACCTCAGGAACGGAATCTCACAATGAAGATAACCGTCTTCAAAAACCTCAGAGTAGCAATTCTACTCACACTGAAGGAAATCCCCTACCTCGATTCTTCAATTTGCAATCGGATAAGTATTCTTCTGATGTTTATATTTATATGGAGAAATTGAACAAAGAGAAAATTGGGAGGCTACATCCGAATTTTATAGGCCATCTACTTCACAAAAATTAAACCTTAGTAAATTTGTCAATATTTCAAGAGTCGGACAAAATAGGATTAAAGTGACAATTATTTCGACAAAGGCGGCAAACGAAATAATTTCAAATGAAAACCTTAAAACAGAAAACATTCAAGCGTATATTCCGAACAACTTGCTGATTCGTAAGGGTATTATTAAAGGGGTTGAATACCTCCTTCGACGAAGATTATTTAAAAAATAATATATCATCTACAGTAACAGTCCTAAGCGTAAGTCGTCTCAAAAGAAAAATTGTTAAAGATGGTGTGGAACATTTGATTACATTTGATGGTAATGTGCTCCCAAACGAATTAACCATCAATAGTGTGCTATTTACAGTTGAGCCCTTTGTGCAAAACGTAATTCAGTGCTTTAAATGTTTACGTTTTGGTCATGTATCAAACCAGCGCCGTAGCTCGACTTCTAGGTGTACGACATGTGGTCAATCCAAAGATGAAAACCACTCCTGTCTCGAAACCAATAGTTATTGTATTCATTGCAAGTCAGTCAACCACACTAGTATTTCCAAAACCTGTCCTGTATTTCAGGAACAACAAAAAATTAAAAAAATCATGGCCAACTCAAATTTGTCATTTATCGAAGCCAAGGATAAAGTGACTGGTTCATATGCTAGTTGTGTAATCAATGATAATCGCTTTCAACCTTTGTTAAATATGGATCACTCAAATTTTCCGGTACTACCTAGTACATCAAGATCACCTACTACTTCTAATAGATCTTCGCAAAGGCATCAATACTCTAGAAATAAAATATCTGTAACGGCCGCACCAGAAGCCAACAATAAACGGAAAATGAATACATCCCCTGTAAGATTCCCAGGTGAAATGTTCCATTTCAGTAGCGGCCCAGAGTATCCTGTAATTTCGAGTCAAACATACCGGTCCAATGTTGGTAGCGAAAAGGACACTATTGAAAAGTTTATGAAAATCTTCAACCAAGTTTTGAATACTTTCAAAACTTTTGAAGAAATACAAAACATTAGCGAAGATACATTGAGAGATAGAATAGGAAGTATTGTCAGCAATATCAACCAACAGTTTCCATCTCAAGCTAACATACCTTAGCAAATAACTAAAGTGCTTAAAATTATGCAGTGGAATGCATTTCGAATAAAAATAGACTCTCATTTTCTTTCACACAATAATATTGATATTGCTCCAATAAGCGAGACCTGGTTCAAGCCTAATCAAACGGTTAAGTTTAAGGGTTACAGCGCGGTCCGTAGGGACAGGCGCGATGGTAAGACTGGTGTAGCTATTCTTGTTAGGCGAGGAGTTACATACTCCCGTATTGACTTTGATGGATCTCTTAACAACGACATTATGGTCTGCGGCTGTCGCATGTCTAGTGGGAATGATCACATTTCATTTATTTCCCTTTACAAGCCACCTAACGTACACTCAACGTCAACATCTGTCTGGGAAGCAATAATCACTAAAGCTTCTGGTTCAGTGGTTATTGGCGGAGATTTTAACGCCCATTCAGCTGTTTGGGGATCATACAGAGAGGATCCTACAGGTCGACAGATTTTGGAATTATGTGAGGAGTCAAACTTAGTCGTACTGAATTCTGGTTCCCCAACAAGAATTGCTGCCCCTAAATTTCAGGCTTCAAGGCCTGATCTAACCATATGCACTCCAGATATCGCTCAAATTTCAAATTGGGAAGTTTCGTCTGATACTCTTGGGTCCGATCATTACGTCATTTGTATTAATTTACATGTTTCCATACAATCACAGAACAGAATCTACCCGAAATATATGTAGAATATGAATAAGGCTAATTGGTCTAAATACCGAGAGCTGTTGAATAATAGGTTTGACAATCCCCCGAATTTTGAGTCAGCGGAAAATAAATATAAGTACTTCCTGGAAAAAATCAATGAAGCAAGTGAAATGTCTATTCCTGTCTGTAGACCCTTTTGTATACGAAACAAAACTCCCGCACCATGGTGGGATCAAGAGTGTAGCGATGGAATAGACAAGAGGAAACAGGCGATGTGGCTATATAATCAGGATAGCAGAATGGAAAATTATATTGAATGTAAAAAAATATTTGCCAAGACAAAAAATCTTTTCAAACGTAAATCTAAAAACATGGATAAAATGGATATCGAATCTAATACGTCGACAACTGAAAAAAACTCGTATAATTAAAAGAATTCCAGATGCACATCCTAAATGTACTGATTTTACATGGTTAGACGAATTCCATCGAAAATGTGTACCAGCTTTTGTCAGTCCATATATGGGAACACCACCCCCAGTACAGCAAAGTCACCTTTTCAGTACTCCTTTTTGTGAAGCCGAATTGGAATGTGCCATTAGTAAATCAATAAATTCATGCCCTGGATATGATGAAATCCGCTACCCGATGCTCAACAACCTTCCATCGAATGCTAAGGATTAGATTCTAGAAATATTCAATGACGTTTTTTTAAGAGGTGAGATCACTGAGGAGTGGAAAAAAATCGTCGTGGTTCCGATACCAAAGCCCATTAAAAACTGTCATCTAGCAGATTATTATCGTCCTATTTCTCTCCTGTCCTGCATTCTCAAAACCTTTGAGAGGGTGATAAAAAATAGGTTGGAATGGTGGCTGCGTTTTCATCCCTTACCAAATCAACAGTTTGCCTTTAGGAAAGGTCTAGGTACTACTGGCAGCATTATTTTTAGATTTACAAGGTGCTTATGACCAGATCGACTTAACACTGCTGAAAACAGAATTGGAAATGTACGGGCTCCCTCCTCATTTGTGCTACATCATAACTAACTTATATCACAATAGAGCAGTTTTTGTAAGAGATATCTAATACAAACAAAAAAATAGGATCACGTTATAGTTTTGCTGGCCTGCCGCAAGGTGCTGTCCTGAGTCCTATCATTTTTAATATATACACTGCTGACCTACACACAGTTAATCCAAGTTCCAAAATTATACAATACGCTGACGACATCTGCATCTATATAGTAAACCGTGCCTTAAGTCTGTACTGACATTCTGGATAGTGCCATGCATCAATACAACCAGTGGTTCAACCAGAATGGCTTTACGTTGTCATGCGAGAAATCTAAGCTGTTTCTTCACTCGCCATAATACACAAATATCAGACGCATTACACCTGGGAGGACATATGTTCACGGTGTATAATACAGTTAAATACCTTGGCGTTACTTTAGATAAAACACTAACTTGGAGGAGCTTCATTTAAAACGTCATCGTCAGGTGCACGAAAGGCCTGAATTTTTTCCGGATAATGCTGAAAGTTTGGTGGGGAGCTCACAAACACTGGTTAAGTTACGTCACCTCAACGCCGAAGATCTGACCAAAAAAATTGGATGAAAAAAAAACTCCCCCCACTATGCAGTGCTTTCAGACAGATTCAAATAACAGCACCCTGATCTGATCTCTGTCCGAGAAGACAGCTACTTCTCACTAAAGTCGAACACCAGAATCATAATATCAGAATACAGTGACATCCCATTGTTCAATATCCGCATTTTAACCAGGTTTGAATGCATTCCGCGTGTGGTACCCATATCTTTACAGACGCATCCAAGAATCAGAACCGAACCGGATGTGCATATTATATACCCAGTACTGACACAGTTGGCACATTTAAACTTCCCGACCATGTATCTATTTTTTGAGACGAAGCAGTGGCTATTATCCAAGCTCTGAAACATGCAACCAGTAGGCACTTGAAAGAATTTACAATTTTTTCCAATAGTCTCTCCGTTCTTTCCTCCATACAAAATTATGATTGCACAAGGACCACCAATTGTCACATAAATCAAATAAAACATAGGATCTGCTACTTGAAAGGAAGTGGAAGCAAGGTTGCATTTGTATGGGTCAAGGCACACTGTGGAATCGTATTCAACGAAAAAGTTGACCAACTCGCAAAATCAAGCATCTACACAGGATCTGTATTACAGACACAAATTTCCAATGAAGATTATAATATTTTATCCAAACAAATCCTATTTAAAAGCTGGACGTTAGAATGGAAGGAATTCTGGCACAAAAATTTTAGAATTCCTCGTAAATACATATCTATGATTATTAGAGCAAAACTTGGGCATGGAGCTTATCCAGCATACCTAGCTAGATTCCTTATTATCGATTCCAACTATGTGAACACTGCAATATTGAGGGGTTCTTGGATCATCTATTTTTTGGATGTTTGAAGTTTTCTCCATACTGTGATCGACTCTACCATAATCTGATTGGCTTGGGCCTTATTTCACCATTTAATGTTCTCGACATTCTAGCTTTGAATAGACTTGATGTTAAGTGTCTGATAATTGACTTTTTGAAAACCTCTGGGTTAAAATTTTAGTTTTGATTAACTAGATATCCTCTGTGTAACTATCCTATGTAATTTACCTACCTAACAGTGGCCTAATTGTTGTGTGTCATATTCTGAAAATGCCTTAATGGGCGAGAAGAGTGTATCCCTGTCCAATTCCATCCTTACTTAGAGAAGTTTAAATTGTAAAAAAGGATCTGGTTAATGGGACATAGTCCTAGTGCCATTAGAAAAAAAAAGACTCAAGAGGTTAAAGTCTATCTTGACGTTCCAAGATTTGGTTCAAAAAGCATGTTAAAAAGTGACTAATCTCATAGAAAAATGAATCTGAACTTCTGCTTCTGGAACAAAAGGTTTATTCCGTCACAGTACTGATTAAGACTTCAACATCAAAAAGCACCATTTTCCTAGAAAATATGTTTGAAGAGTCATTAGTCGGTTCAAATCAGGTGCATTTTGAAAACGTTACATATCGAGAATAGTCTACCCTGTTCCAGATGCTTACTCGATACGTAGCGACTGATCTAAACTCTGTCCAGAAAAATATGGGGTATAGTCTAATCGTATTAGTGATTTTCCCCGAAATAATTGTAATGTCTGGTTTTATTGATGCAAGTTGTTCAAGGGGGTATTTAAAACATGGACGCATAAAATATGTAA